CAGGACCACAGGACCGTGTTTATGTCATACAGGACCACAGGACCGTGTTTATGTCCTACAGGACCACAGGACCGTGTTTATGTCCTACAGGACCACAGGACCGTGTTTATGTCCTACAGGACCACAGGACCGTGTTTATGTCCTACAGGACTGTGTTTATGTAAATATTTAACTTAAAACCTTATTTTAAAAGTAAAACTGAATCACTTGTATGTTTATATATTTAATAATGATGATTGAAACAAGTGCTTCACCTGTGGTGGAGGAGCGTTACTTGAACAGGAAACTTCCATTGGTGGACTGCAGGCWGATGTAGAGGATGAGAGCAGAAAAACAGAAGGTCCCTGAAGGAGCCTTAGGTTGAGCCCCGCCCCCCAACGCTAAAACAGTGTCAGCTTGAAACACTGAAAAATGAAACACTGAAAAATGAAATACTGAAAAGGTTTTGGCATTGTAACTTTAAAATGCCAAAATTTTTTCTGTGTTTCATTTTTCAATGTTTCATTTTTCAGTCAGATCTATTTTTCAACATCAGTGTAAGCTGTCACTGGTTTAACTCCACACACTGTCTGCTCTGTGGTCCAGAGTTATATCAGGGTCCTGGTTAGAGCAATGAACAATGATCCAGTTACACCAGTGCGGCTGGATTTTTTTTTTAAGAAATCAGGTRGCATTTGTGACCAAACTGGTTGCACTCCAGAGCCCTGCTAGCTGTTGTTTTGACACACAGTCAGGTACAATCTCAGGTACATTAGTGAGCTTTATGACCTTACATCTGGTGCACTTTTTCCTTTTTTGAGTGCTCATGCGCACCGCTTATGTGGAACTCTGTATATGTATATGTGTATATGATTGGCTGTGGGTTAGGCACATGCATAATAATTTATTCCTCTCAGATTACAATTTTTTCCAAAAAAAGAACAAGTTAACTGTAGTAAATTTTTGTTTTTTGTCTTTAAACAGAAATGAATGTAAAAATTAACAGAAGTCTTCTGATGAGTTCTTTTCATGTTGAGTTCAGAGAGCAGCAAGCAGTTCATCCAAATGAGCAATGATCATACAGTGAGATGTAACATTGAAAAGTTTGCAAAKCACAAGCATTCCCATACGTTTATATTTTATCATCACTGGAACAGCAAACATGTATTTGAGACACTGCTTTTCCTGAAATCCTTGGCTTTCTGTATTTGTAGATATGATACTGGGAAAGATGGCTTCATTGACCTGATGGAGCTGAAACTGATGATGGAGAAGCTGGGAGCTCCACAGACCCACCTGGGCCTGAAGAACATGATCAAAGAGGTGGATGAAGACTTTGATGGAAAACTAAGCTTCAGAGAGGTGAGTATTTCACTGCAGAGGGCTGAAAGGATTACTGCGGAAAAGACCGTTCCCAGTATTCAGAACAGCATGTGGACAAACACTGATGATATTTAGAGAGGACAGCAGGGTTTTCACATATTTGAGCTCATCACTGCTAAGAGATGAGAGGGTCACTACACTGCAGTGAAAAGATCTCTGCAGATACGTGTTTGCTGAAAACTGTAACACACTTATTAACACTGATGAGATTCAGAGAGTTGACGGGGTCATTGAAGGGAGGTGTAAGAAAATTTTGTGTTTGTTAAACTGGAATCGAGACGAAACCACGTAAATATTGAATAAATTAAAATGTGAAGAGAAATGGAACCATACAACCCAGATCTGGTTACGAGTGAAGCTTTTATTGCTCCTGACTGGAGAAAACAAGCTGCGCTGAAGGCCACCCAGAAGTTCAGGTCTTTTATACGTACACAGTTCTTCAGTGCCTGGTGCGCCCACTACAGGCCTACTGCTGCATCGAAGGCCACTGGAACAGACATTACCCTAACCTAATGAATCGATAACGGTTTTTCTATGTGTTGTTGGTGGTTCGGGCATGGATCTAAACTATTTTAATCAAGACACAACAATCGTCAAACAATTTATTATAAAAATCAATACTTAAAAGGGAAACTAAGAAAATGGTGTGCTTTTAACATCAGTATCTAACCGATAAATTTTGGTTTTTAACTGTGATTCCCAACCAAGGTCCTTGAGGAACACTAACCTGTATATTTTGGTTCAGTGATGTCCAGTCCTAATCCCCGAGGGCCACATTCCTGCATGATTTAGTTGTGTCCCTGCTTTGTAGTGTTTCTTCAAGTTCTGCAGGACCCTTTTAATTGCTCATGCATTTAAACAATGCAGAGAAACAAAAACATGGAGGATATTTGCCAATGAGGACCAGGATTGGGCACCACTGCTTTGTTTCCCTGCTCAGGGCTCTAGACTACCTTTTGTGTACTGGTAGCACCGGCGTGCCTAACTTTTTTTTCTTAGGTGCACCAAAGTTGTTTTTGTTTAAATGACCATCCATTAAAGCAATATTAACTCGCAAAAAATTTGTTAACAATCTAGCAAACATAAAGATCTTTATTTGGACCAGAATTGTACAAGACATATAGTACAGACCAAAAGTTTGGACACACCTTCTCATTCAAAGAGTTTTCTTTATTTTCATGACTATGAAACTTGTAGATTCACACTGAAGCAGGGTTCCTGCAGATCCTTGAAAAGTTTTAAAAGTCCTTGAATTCATAAATCTAAAAATAAGGCCTTAATTAGCCCGGACGGCTGATGGTCAATGACCAGGTGTAACAGTTACCTGTGGCTGATGATCAATAACCAGGTGTAACAGTTACCTGTGGCTGATGGACATTAACCAGGTGTAACAGTTACCTGTGGCTGATGGTCAATAACCAGGTGTAACAGTTACCTGTGGCTGATGGACATTAACCAGGTGTAACAGTTACCTGTGGCTGATGGTCAATAACCAGGTGTAACAGTTACCTGTGGCTGATGGTCATTAACCAGGTGTAACAGTTACCTGTGGCTGATGGGTCAATAACCAGGTGTAACAGTTACCTGTGGCTGATGGTCATTAACCAGGTGTAACAGTTACCTGTGGCTAGGCCTGTCAC